CTGGGGAATCTTGGGGTATTGGCTGTTAGCCAGTCTTTAGACATTATCCATTCTAGGTACATCTGTTCAGGCCAAAGAAAGGTCCATTTAAGAGCTAGATGTCTAAGTACGTGGGAGGAGGAGGAATTACCTGTGACTTCTTTTTTTATTTTTTCTGAGTTTTCATGGAAACGTCTGGAGCAGTAGAGTGCAATAGAATTTTCTTTGATGATGGCAATATTCTTCAGTGGTACCAATTGAAGACACCAATTCAAGCACCACGTGTGGCTACTGAGCCCTTGAAAGGTGGTTTGTGCAACTGAGAGAAGCTGAAATTTTCATTTTATTTCAATTTAGTAAATTTAAATATAAATAGTCATATGTGGCTGTGACTCCTGGACAGCTCTAGAACATGGGCATTTTTGGGGAGCCAAATGATGGATGAGTTGTCAATAGGTGCATGAGAAACAGTCCCAGGTTTTAGAAATTATTAAAAATGAGCAACCAGAGGCTGGGAAGGGTAGTGGAGAGTGGAGGATAAAGTGGGGATGATTCATAGGTTAAAAAAAATCCATTTTTTTAAATGAGATGGCAGAATAAAAAGGAGGGAGGCTGTGACACAGTCTACAACATGGGTGAACCTTGAGGACATGGTGCTCAGTGAGAGAAAAGCCAGACACAGAAGGACACACAGTGCGTGATTCCACTTGCAGGAAGTCCCTAGAGTCATCAGAGTCACAGAGACAGAAAGTAGAATGGTGAGTGCCAGGGGCTTGGGAGGGGTAGGGAGTTAGTGTTTCTTGGAGACAGAGTTTCAGTTTGGGTGGATGAGAAAGTTCTAGAGATGGACAGTAGTGACAGTTGCACAACAATGTGTGTGTGCTTAGTGCTGCTGACTTGTGCACTTAAACATGGTAAAGTGGCAAGTTTTATGTACATTTTACCACAATAAAAATTAAATTAATAATTAAAATGAGATGACATGAATTTAAAGCATCGTATTATTTTTAAACTACATTAATTAACTACTTTATATATATGTGTGTGTGTGTGTATATATATATATGTATATATATATATATTTTTTTAGACAGACACCAATTCAGGCACCACCAGCCATGGTGTCTCACTTTCTTGCCCCTGATAGAGTGCTGTGACGTCACAACTCACAGCAACCTCAAACTCTCGGGCTCAAGAGATCCTCTTGCCTCAGCCTCCCAAGTAGCTGGAACTATAGGGGCTTGCCACAACACCTGGCTTTTTTTTTCTTTTTTTTTTGCAGTTTTTGGCTGGGGCCAGGTTTCAACCTGCCACCTCCAGTATATGGGGCCAGTGCCCTACTCCTTTGAGCCACAGGCGCTGTCCAACACCTGGCTATTTTTTTTTTAGAGACAGGGTCTCACTCTTGCTCAGGCTGGTCTCAAACTCCTGAGCTCAAGTGATCCACCCAAGTTGGCTGGGATTGCAGCTGTGAGCCACTGCGCCTGGCACTCCTACCTCTTCTAATTCAACATTGTTCTGGAAATTCTAGCCAGCACAATAAAGCAAGAAAAGAAATCAAAGGCATACAGATTAGAAAGGAAGAAATAAAATGTTCGCTATTTGCAAATGACATAATGGTCATTTTGAGAATGTCAAGGAATCTACAAAAAGAAAATCGAGGCTCGGCACCTGTGGCTCAAGTGGCTAAGGTGCCAGCCACGTACACCCAAGGTGACGGGTTCAAATCCAGCCCGGCCCACCAAACAAGAATGACAGCTGCAACCAAAAAATAGCCGGCCGTTGTGGCGGGCGCCTGTGGTCCCAGCTACTTGGGAGGCAGAGGCAGAAGACTCGGTTAAGCCCAGGAATTGGAGGTTGCTGTGAGCTGAGATGCCACGGCACTCTACCCAGGGTGACAGCTTGAGGCTCCTGTCTCAAAAAAAAAAATCGATGCACAAAAATCAATCACATTTCTAATTGTTAGCAATGAAAAATTAGAACACAAAATTAGAAGCTATCATTTACATTTCTTTCAAAACCTACTATTGAGGCTCGACACCTGTGGCTCAAGCTGCTAAGGCGCCAGCCACATACACCTAAAGTGGCGGGTTCGAATCCCCAGCCCGGGCCCGCCAAACAACAATGATGGCTGCAACCAAAAAAAAAAATGGCTGGGCGTTGTGGCGGGCCCCTGTGGTCCCAGCTACTTGGGAGGCGGAGGCAGGAGACTCACTTGAGCCCAGGAGTTGGAGGTTGCTGTGAGCTGTGATGCCATGGCACTCTACCCAGGGGGATAGCTTGAGGCTCCGTCTCACAAAAAAAACCTACTATTGAATGTCAGTTTGTTGACAACTGCTTTACACTTACTGTTTGATGACTTGATGACCCAAAAAACCTTGGGAGGAAGATTTTATTATCTTCCCATTTTACAGATAAGAAAACAGAGGCTTGCGTGGCTGGCCTGAGGTCACAGAATGAAGGAGCAGTGGAGCAGGGCTGCAGGCTGGGGCTGGCCAAGGCCCAGTGTTATTGGTCTTAACCAATACAAAGTAACAGCGTGGAAGACAGTCACAATAGCAGTAGGCATTCAATGATAATAGTAATGGGCTTGGCGCCCGTAGCACGGTGGTTACGGCGCCAACCACATACACTGAGGCTGGCAGGTTTGAACCCAGCCGAGGCCAGCTAAACAACAATGACAACTGCAACAAAAAATAGCTGGGCATTGTGGTGGGCACCTGTAGTCCCAGCTACTAGGAGGCTGAGGCAAGAGAATCACTTAAGCCCAAGAGTTTGAGGTTGCTGTGAGCTGTGATGCAACAGCACTCTACCAAGGGTGACATAGTAAGACTCTGTCTCAAAAAATTATAATAATAATAGTAGTAACAGAGAAAGCCCTTCTGCACTAGGTGAAGGGCTTGGTATTCACTAGCCACCATTCTGAACACTTTATTCCACCCATTTTCATCTCATTCCTTGTGAATAGCCTGTGATGGAGGTACTCGAGTTGTGTCCATTTCACAGATTGAAAGAGTGAGGGTTAGAGTGAGGGGAGGTGATGTGTCTAAGGCCCTGTACCCTGTCTTCCTGATTCCAAAGTGTATGCTGGGAACCACCAGATGTGGCACTTACTAGGTACTCAAGAAACATCCCCCCTTCCCAGGGAAACACCTGGTATCAGACTGGCACTACTGCCTACCAAGTCTTTGTGGGAGCTGGTCCTGTAGAGGGTCTGGTGCCTGTGGCCTAGAGCCTGGTGCAGCTGGCTTTGTGGGCTGGGTTCCTCCCAACTGAGTGGCCACCCGTGCCCAGCCTCAAGGCAATCCAAGCAGGACTGGCCAGCTCTGAGAGGCAGCTGGCTGTCCAGCTTGGGAGCAGCCACGAGGCTGGAGGCTGAGCTGGGCACACTCCCCTCGGCTGCTGCCCAGCCTGCTTGGCCCAGTCGGCCACCTAGGGTAGCCCTGCTGGAGGAGAGGATGCCCTCATTTGTTCCTGCGTTTCCTGATTGGGAAACTGAGGCTGTTTATGACATCTTTGGTCTTGGCAGCTGGTGGGTGCCAGATACCCCGTGTGTGCAAACCCCCAGCACAGTGCCAAGCAACTGCCGAAAGTTCCCCATGTTGGGAAGCATCACATCCTTCTTATTATTCCACGACAACCTTGAGAGTGGCTTCTATCATCATCCTATTTTACTGATGAGTAAACTGAGACCTCCAGAGGGAAAGTGAGCTGGCCAGGACCATGCAGCCTGAGAAATAGGATCTGAACTCAGGCTGTCAGCTGAACACAGCACAAACACATGAACAAAATGACACTGGTGACATAGTATGTCAGCTGGATGGTGTGAGGGCATTTTTTGTCCTCCTAACCCTTAGTTTTCCTTGTCTATAAAATAGGCATGATAACACAGCCAAGTTTGTGGTTGTCTCAGGATTTAAGAGAACACATAAAGTGAGAATGAAAACAATGCATGTGTGGTCACAAGAATAACAGTGAGATAGGCACTCGTACGTATTGACATGTCAGTGTGCTGCCAAGGGCTTCACAGTGATTTCCTTGCTACCTCTTGACAATCCAGAGTATCTTGGGTGATACTCATGCCCATTTGGGAGAGGAGAAATGAAGGCTCAGAACAGCCAAGTAACTTGCCTAGGTCACACAGCAAGTGGACCACAGCTTCGGGGTCTGGCAGGTGGGAGGAGCCTACTTCCCCTCCTTTGGCCTTTGATGTAATTGCTGTCACCTTTGCCTTTGACCTGGGGGATAGGTGTGTGGGGCTAGTGGGTACTGTCTTGCTGGACTTGGCCATGTGTCCTCTGCCTGTCAGGATCAGGGCTTTGGAGAGGGGTCCCTGCCTCATTCTTCATCCTGGCTGCAGCCGATAATGCTGAGCTCAGCGTCTGTCTGCTTCTCCTGTCTGCCAAGGAGCCTGATTATTTTTAGATAGATGGAGGGGAGGGTGCTAGGGCGGAGGGAGCCCCCAAGCCAAGGCGGCTAGGCAAGAATGTGTGGGTATTGCATCAAAAAGGGCTGCCCCCTAAAAGAAGGGCTGCCCCTCAGCCCTATCTCTGGGGGACCTGAATGACGCCCCAGTCCTGCCAGACTCCCAGGACTGCAGGGGCAGAGACAAGGGTACCAGAAAGCCCAAGGACTTACCTCTCTGACCCTCAGTTTCCCTGTCTGTAAATGAGCATGTAAAATGAGTGTAGGCAGGAGTACGTGAGTTAGCCTCATTTTACAGATGAGGCTCAGAGAGGACAAGTGACTTGCCCAGGGCCACACAGCAAGAAAGTGGCAGAACTAGGACTGAACTTAACTGAACCCAAGTCTGTTAAGACTCCATGTGTGCTAGTTCTTGCCTGTAACTGAGCCGGCTCCTGCAGATGGAGGAGACCATACCTAGCATGTAGGCACACTGGTGCGAAAGGGTCTGAGCCACTGTCTGCAGGTGCCTGCCCCAACCTGGAGCAGTGGTGTGAACACATGTCCTGGGGTGGGGGCCCGATGATGTCATCAGTGTTTCCTCCCTCTCTTTGCAGATGCGGAGCAGAGCAGCAGTCCCAGGGCAGGGATGGGCTCCGACCAGGAGGACAGCAAGCCCATCACACTGGGTGAGTCTAGGGTGGTATGACAGAATGGGGTAGATAGTGTAGCCCTATCCCCATTTTTTATTTAGGGATTCTTTGCTGAGCACCATCTATGTGCTTTGTGTGGCCCTGTGTGAGCACTTCACAAATACTGCCTCATTTGTTCCTTGCAACAGTACTCTGGGGTAGGTGCTGCTCTTGTTCCATTTTACAGATGAGCAGACTGAGGCTTAGAGAGGCAACCAGGAAGCTGGGTTTGGAAACTGTGAGCATCTGAGCTCTGAGGTGCTCACCCCCTGGGAGACCCTGTAGGGCTCTCTAGTCCCATGGGATGTCTATGAGCCAGTTCTATGTTGGGGGATGGGAAGTGGAGAGGCAGGGACTGGGGGATAGCACTGGGCAGTAGGAAAGATTCAGACCACCACCCTGGTCCAGCCCCAGCATCACCCACCTAGACCAACGGTCCCTTCCACCATGGTTCCCACATCCCTCCTTTGTCCCTCCCTCATCTGCCCTCCCTGCAGCAGCCAGAGGGCACCTGTGAGCACTGGAGTCTGGGCCTATTCCTCCTCTGTCCACAGCCTTCCATTGTTCCTACCTCCCTCAGAGTCAAAGCCTAAGTCTTCCCAAGGACCACCAGGCTCTGCATGACCTGCCCATCCCCTCCCTGATAACCTCTTCTCACTCTGCTCCAGCCACAAGGGCCTCCTTGCTGGCCTCCAACATGCCAGGCACAGTCCTGCCTAAGGGCCTTTGCATGGGTTATTCCTTCTGCCTGGACAGCTAAGTGCACTCTCTCCCTCCCTCCAGATCTCCCTAGGTCTCAGCTCAAATGTCCCCTTTTCAAAAGTCATCCCTAAGCCCCTTCACCTCAAGCAACCTCTGGCCACTCTCAATCACAGCCTTCTGTTTTATTTCCTTCAGAGGACGTTAGAGATTGCACATGTATTTGCTTATATTCCCTTGGGGAACATCACCTCCTCCAGGGCAGAAGTTTTGTCTGTCTTGATCACTGTTGTGCCGCCAGTGCCTAGAATAGGACCTGGTACACAGTAGGTGCTCAATACATATTTTTAAACAAAGAAAGAAAGGAGAGAGGGAGGGATGAAGGAGAAAGATAAAGAGAAAGAACAACAGAGATAGTACATTGGGGAGAGGAAGGAGGAGGGAAGGAAGGAAGGAAGGAAGGAAGAAAAAGCAAGTTGGGTGAGGCACCCCTGTTGGAAGGAGCAGAACAGGCGTGCACAGGGAGACTGTCCAGGCCACTCCTCACTGGCCCCTGGTGACGCGTCCATCCTGCCGTCTGTGACCCGAGCCCTCCTGGGCCTCTCATGGTTCCCAGGCGCCTCCCTCCAAGCCAGATGTCCAAGGAGGCGGGGCGGGGGGGGGGTAGTTTGGGTGTCTGGCAGAGGAAATCACGGCCTCCCAGCTCGCCAGGGAGTCCCCCGGAGATGAAGCTGGGCGGACGCTGCACAAACAGGAAACCCCGGTGGGGGAGGCAGAGGGGGTGTGCTGACAGCAGCTGGCCAGCTGGATCAGCAGGAAGCGGCTATGGACACTTCCCCTGGACCCTGAGGAACCACTGCCCTGTCCCTCCTCCCCAAGGACATCATGGCTTTGACCCTCCCAACACAGAGCACATGGAAATGGCTCCAAAAGTGACACATACAATGATTGCAACTGGGGAGCCAGGGTTCCAGCACTGACTAGGACTTGGGTCTGGGGAGCTGGACACAGCCACAAGCTCCCTCCAGCCAGTGCTGCCCCCTTGGGGTCAGGACAGGAACTGCTTCCCTGCCACCCAGGAGCCCAGTACCCCCTGCCTCCCTGGCTCCTTCTGTGCCAATCCTGCTGGCCTGCAGTCTGCTAATTGCATTTCAATCCCAGGGCCTTTGCACAGGCCGTTCCCACTGTTGAGAACATTGTGGCCCTCAGGGAGGTGGCAAAACACCATATTTAGTATCATATCAGAGTCACCAACACTCACAGGGCCATTTTCAAGGCCCTGCTCTTGGCACTTGCAAATTTGAACAAGTTTGTTCCTTTTTTTTTTTTTTGAGTCGGAGTCTTATTTTGTCACTCTCGGTAGAGTGCTATGGCATCACAGTTCACAACAACCTCAAACCTTGGGCTTAAGCAATTCTCTTGCCTCAGCCTCCCAAGTAGCTGGGATTACAGGCACCCACCAAAACACCTGGCTTTATTTTTTAGAGACAAGGTCTCACTCTGGCTCAGGCTGGTTTCAAACTCCTGAGCTCAGGCAATCCACCTGCCTCGGCCTCCCAGAGTGCTAGGTTTACAGGTGTGCGCCACTGTGCCCAGCAAGTTTGTTCCTCTTATCTTCTTCCCTCCTTCCCCCACCATAAAATTTTTGAGTAAAATAGCCCTCCTCCCCTGCTGCCTCCACACCCCCTGCCTTACCACTGTCTGATGCACCTCACATTTGATTTAGTGAGCTTTTATTTTTTTTAATTTGTAGTAAAATATGCACAATGTAAAATGTATCATTTTAACCATTTTTAATTGTACAAGTCAATGGAATTAAGTACATTCACAGTGCTGTACAACCATCACCTCTGATTCCACAACATTCTCATCACTCCAAAAGGAAGCCACACCCACATCAGCAGTCACTCCCCATCTCCTCCCCAGCCCCTGACACCCACAAATCCACTTCCTGACCCTGTGGATTTGCCTGTTCTGGACATTTCCTATAAATGGAATCTCACACTGTGTGTCTGTGGCTTCTCTCACTGAACACAATATCCTTAAGGTCCTTCCACATTGTGACCTGTGTGAGAGCCTCCTTCCTTTTCATGGCTGAGTGATACTCCCTGTGTGAATGGCCCACACAGTGTGTGTTCATCTGTCCATAGACACTTGGTTTTTTTTTTTAGTTGGGGCTATTGTGAATAATGCTGCTACAAACACACATGGACAATTTTTTTCCTTATTAATCTCATGTGGTGTCTGTCACAATGGATTGTAAGTCCCATGAGAGCAGCCACTTCTGTCTCATTCTCTACTTTGTGAGTGCCCAGTTCAGAATCAGACACTGTAGGTGCTCAGTAAATGCCTGCTGAGTAAATGGATCCCTCTTGCAAGGGCCTCTGGGGGTGGGACAGGCCTGTTCCCAAGCTGTCTGATATTGACCAAGGCCCCTTCCATCTCTGGACCAGCCTCCGTTTCCAAATCCACAAAATAGGTCCAAACCATTCCAGTTCAAAGAAGAGGGTTCCCACTCCAGTAACAAAGAAGGGATGTTAGGCAGGAATGGTTCTGGGAACACAAGGGATTTTAACCACTGCCTGTGGACTCCCTTCCATTAAACCCTTGTTTCTGAGACCCTGCTGGATGCTAATCTCTGGTCTATGCACTGGGGACACTGCAGGGTCTGGGAAGACAGAATCTCTGCCCACATGGAGTTTCCAGTGTGGAGGGAGAGAAGGACAAGAAACCAGAGTGTTGCCAAGGGTGAAGTGATGCATATCTAGTCAGGCAGCCCGTCCTAGGTAGCCTGATTCAGATCTCAACAACCACTCAGAAGACCAGGTTTAGGGTCCCTATTTTCGAGATGAGGGAATATGGAGGCTTAAGGAGGGGAAGTGACTTGCCCAAGATCACAAAAAAAGAGGGTGATGGAACCAAGATTTGAACCTGGATCCAGCCTCCTCTCTCTGCTCTGGAGTACAGCCTGCCACAGAGTGGGCCCCCAAAGGAAGGCAAGACAGTTATGCCCACACTAGACATAGACCCACTATGAGCCTTCCCCATCAGACTGTAGCAGGCCATTCCCCCACAGCAGGGTTACAGAGGTATATGGGGTGAATGCTTGAACAACCCTGGGTTGCAGCAAAGGGAAACAGGATTGGTTCAGCCTACCACCTGCTGACTTCTCTCCCTGTTCCAGACACAACTGACTTCCAGGAAAGCTTTGTCACCTCTGGCGTGTTCAGTGTCACCGAGCTCATCCAAGTGTCCCGGAGTAAGTATCCCCATCAGCCCTGAGCTGGGAGAGGAGGGGCTTCAGAGAGGAAGAAGGAGCCTGCCACCTTCACCCTGCACTCCCTTTCCCTCTCCAGATACCCCCATCACCAAGCCCAGGTTCCCAGGAAGGGAGGTGGCCAGGCTCTTCCCAGAGCCCAGGGTCAGGGTGACATACCACCACCCCAGGAAACAGGATCCAGATGTTGAGTGGAGGCTTGCTAAAGAACCTTTCACCCTAGTATCACTCCTTCCTGGGACCTCTGCCATCCCATCCCACAGGACGCTAGAGGGCCCGGTATACCCGTCCTGTTTCCCTGCCTTCCTTGTGGATTTGCAGGGGTCTCAACACATTTCCCTAGAAACCCCCATTTTGAATCCCACACCACGGAGGTCTGGGCATTATCTTGACTTAACCCTGACCAGCACCCTTCCTGTCCAGAGCCACAGACTCTGCCTCTAGCTCTGGCTACACCTCTGCCTCAGAGTGTGAACTTGGCCTCTCTCCATGGCCTTGGTCTTCTGATTCCTAGAATAAGGCCAGTTTCAGCCAAATCAGGAATTAAGCCAGTTTAAGGAGTCCCTCTTTGAACTGCCTTGATGGCTCTCTCCACCTCCCTAGGGCAAACCACAGCCCTGAGCCCTGCTCCCTTCTTCATTCTCCTTTTGTGTCTTCTGCAGCACCTGTGGTGACCGGAACAGGACCTAATTTTTCCCTGGGGGAGCTGCAAGGGCACCTAGCATATGACCTGAATCCAGCCAGCACTGGCATGAGAAGAACGTTACCCAGCACCTCCTCCAGCGGGTATGTGCCTAGGTCCCAGTCTCTGGGCATTTCATGATGCCACCCACAAACCCACCACCCTCTGGCCTCAGCTGGCTTGTTCTTCTCTCTGCAATACCTGTTACACATTTCACCTGGTCTTCAAAACCCAGCTCCAAGTGCCTCTTTACCTATCCCTGACAGCCCACCTTGGGACACACCCACAACACAAGATGCAGACAGTTTTTGCTGAGATAGGCTGTAGCAGTGAGCTGGTCATATTCTGTGTGCCTCAGTTTGCCCATCCATAAAAATGGGATCATAATCCTACTAGGTTGTCCCGAGGATTACAGTAGGTCAACTGAATAGTCAGGCTGTCAGGGGTTTTTTTGGCCTGCACCCTGCTATTTTGGTGTTTGACCTCCACTAAGCCTATCTCCCCATCTGGCTGCGGGCATTCCTTCCAAGCAACTGGCAGGTCTGAATAGGTGTCAATCAAGAACTGCCAGAGGCGGGACGCAGTGACTCATGCCTGTAATCCTAGCACTCTGGAGGCTGATCCAGGTGGATTGCTTGACCTCAGGAGTTCAAGACCAGCCTAGGCAAGAGCGAAACCCAGTGTCTAAAAATAGCTCTGTGGGGCGCAGGCCTCATATACCGAGGGTAGTGGGTTCAAACCCGGCCCTGGCTGAACCCCAACAAAAAAATAGCCAGGCATTGTGGTGGACCCCTGTGGTCCCAGCTATTTGGGAGGCTGAGGCAAAAGAATCCCTTAAGCCCAAGAGTTGGAGGTTGCTGTGAGCTGTGACGGTACGGCACTCTGACAGCTTGAGATTCTGTCTCAAAAAATAAAAATAAAAGGCGGCGCCTCTGTGACTCAGTGGGTAGGGCGCCGGCCCCATATACTGAGGGTAGCGGGTTCAAACCCGGCCCTGGCCTAACTGCAACAAAAAAAATAGGCCGGCGTTGTGGCGGGCGCCTGTAGTCCTAGCTACTGGGGAGGCTGAGGCAAAAGAATCACCTAAGTCCGGGAGTTGGAGGTTGCTGTGAGCTGTGACGCCACGACACTCTACCAAGGGCAATAAAGTGACACTCTACAAAAAAAAAGCTATGTGGAGGGAGCCTGTAGTCCCAGCTACTTGGGAAGCTGAGGCAAGAGGATCACTTGAGCCCAACAGTTTTTGAGTTTGAGGTTGCTGTGAGCTATGACGTCCTAGCTCTCTACTGGGGGCGACAAAGTGAGACTCAGTCTCAAAAAAAAAAAAAAAAAAAATTACTGACAGCATCTGCGGTTCCCTTGAGATCTCGCGATAGCACCTCCCTCACCCCGCCCCTTAAAGCCCGCCACGGCCTTGCACCGCGCCCCGCGTCTCCATGGTAACCAGCCTCTTCCCTCGCCCCTTAGGAGCAAGCGGCACAAATCGGGCTCCATGGAGGAAGACGTGGACACGAGCCCTGGCGGTGATTACTACACGTCACCCAGCTCTCCCACGAGTAGCAGCCGCAACTGGACAGAGGACATGGAAGGAGGTAGGGCTGGCGACGGGGGCGGAGCGAACTTCCGGTCGCGGGTGCCGCAGTAAGGACTACGCATTCCGTCAGGCACTGCGCGGACGCCGGAGGACAGGAAGGCGGTCTGGAGCCGCGGGGCCTCCTGGGAATTGTAGTCGCCCTAGCTGCGCTTTGCTGGAAGTAAAGTTTGGGCTCACCTTCCCAGGATTCTTTGCTTCTGCTCATACAAGGAAGGGTGAAGTCTGTCCGTTGCCTGACTTTACCACCCTCCACCTGTTAAGCCCTCATCACTGCAGGGGTTCCTGAGCTGCGGCATTGACTCAGTAGCAATTCTGAGGAACAGGGTGCTTCATCCTGGGGTCTACAATAGCATCTCTCATCTGCAGGGTCCCTATTTATCCTTTTCACCTCTAGAATATCTTTGGATATAGAATCCCTTCTCCCTGGGGTTCTTCTTGTAGTTCCTTATTTACGAGGTTCCCATCTCCCTGGGATCTTCCTCCATATGAGTCCAGTTCTGTTCTTCCATATTGTCTCTATTCCCTTACCGTCTTTTTCCAGGGAGATTTTTATCCTGTTGCTCTTCTGTCTTCCTGGGGTCCTCTCCAGATTATCTTCTCATAGGTTCCTGTTCTTTACAGTCAGCAGCTTTTTTTCTTTTCCTTTTTTGTTTTCTTTTTCTTTTCTTTTCTTTTTCTTTTTCTTTTTTTTTTTTTTTGAGACGGAGCCTCAAGCTATCCCCCTGGGTAGAGTGCCATATGGCATCACGCTCATAGCAACCTCCAACTCCTGGGCTCAAGCAAGTCTCCTGCCTCAGCCTCCCAAGTAGCTGGGACTACAGGCGCCCGCCACAACGCCTGGCCATTTTTTGGTTGCAGCCATCATTGTTGTTTGGCGGGCCCGGGCTGGGGATGCGAACCCGCCACCTTAGGTGTATGTGGCTGGCGCCTTAGCCACTTGAGCCACAGGCGCCGAGCCTGTTTTATTTTTCTTAATAGCCTTCTGTAAGGAAACATAGGATCTTTTTTCTGTTGCATGCTAGGTTCATTCTAAAGGGCCTCATAGGGTAGAAGAGTGGTTACAAGCATGGACCCTGGAGCCCACCTGCCTGGGTACATAGACCAGCCTTTGTAGATTCCTAGTGACCCTACCTGTTTGAGTCTCAGTTTCCACTTCTATAAAATAGAAATGTTAATATCTGCAGTACAGCCCTTTCATAGGGTTGTGAGGATTTAAGTAAATTAATACATCTCATGTGCATAAAACAAGTTTTTATGTGAGCACCCAGTAAACATAAGGGTTTTCATTTCTCCTCCTGGCTCTCTTCTCTGTGTATCCATAGGACATGCCTTCTTATAGATCTGTCTGTACAATATGCCATTCTTGTAGGATTTTCAGGCAACAGAGAGACCTTCAAGTCCTAGGTCTACCACTGACTAGCTGTGTGTGCTGTGTAACCTTGTACAGGTAATTCAATTTCTCTGAGCCTCAGTTTCTTCATCTCCAAAATGAAAATGATGAGAACAATAATTCTTTGGGACATATGGGAAGAGCAACCGTCTAGCTCTTGAAAAATGCCCAGAAACTGGAGAGTGTATTATTGGCCATGTCTTTATAAAATTCCCACCTCTTTAATTCAGTCTCTAATGCATCTGGTTGTGAAATGTCAACTTCTAAGGAGCCTCCCTCTTACACAATGTGGGCTCCCAGAGCAGGTTTATCTCTGAAGGATCCCCGTCTCTCAGAAGACCTGTCTCTATTCATTAGGTTCTAATTTATGGACCATAGTGTCTCTACGGTTCTATCACTGTGTGTTCGCTATCTCTGTCAGATTTGTCTCCATTAAGACCCTTTATTCCTTAAGCTTGCTTTTTCTGTGAGAGACAGAAACCCCAAAGGAACAGTGTATTTCTCTCGCAGATAAATTTCCAGCCATCTAGCAGCCCTGGAAAGTGTGGTGCAAGGGACCCAGGCCCCTGCCTGATGCTCCACTGAGTGTGGTTTTCATCCCCACTTTGATCCAAACTGACTCTGAAGATCCAGCCATCATATCTGCATTCTAGTCAACAAGAAGGCTCAAGTCTGGTCACACCCTCTCCCTTTAAGAATAATTCTCAGAAGTGGCATCTACCTCTTCTGCTTATTTCTATGCCCAGGAGATAGTCATGTGGCCATATTTGGCTTCAAAGGGTGCTGAGAAATGTAGTCTTATTCTGGGCAATCATGAATCCCACTCACAATCAAGGGTTCTGTTACTAAGGAAAAAGGGGAGAGGAGAGATTAGAATCTCAGAAGCCCTTCTCATTAACTCTGTTATTGAAGAGGCTGTCAAAATAAAAATTCCATACTATTTAGAGCTGAAAAATGGCTCATGGGATATAGCCAAAGCTCCCCAAGAGGAAAAATCAAAACTTTGAATCTATTAGAAAAGGAGAACAGTTGAAAATAAAGAACCTAACTTTCAATTCATGAAACTCAAAAAAGAAAAACATTTTTTTTTTTTTTGAGACAGAGTCTCACTTTATCGCCCTTGGTAGAGTGCTGTGGCATCACAGCTCACAGCAACCTCCAACTCTTGGACTTAGGCGATCCTCTTGCCTCAGCCTCTCGAGTAGCTGGGACTACGGGTGCCCGCCACAACGCCTGGCTATTTTTTTTGTTGCAGTTAGGCCAGGGCCGGGTTTGAACCTGCCACCCTCAGTATATGGGGCGGGCACCCTACCCAGTGAGCCACAGGCACCACCCAGAAAAACAAAATTTTAAGAAAGGGTGCATTACAGCCACTGAGGTTCAGTCTGACCTTCCTGCTTTGGTACTCACTCTCAATAGCCCCAATGGAGAAAAATGTAGCAGCACTGGGGCAGGACAAAGATAAAAAGCCTACTACCGGCTCGGCGCCTGTGGCTCAAGCCGCTAAGGCGCCAGCCACATACACCTAAGGTGGCGGGTTCGAATCCCCAGCCCGGGCCCGCCAAACAACAATAATGGCTGCAACCAAAAAATGGCCAGGCGTTGTGGCGGGCGCCTGTAGTCCCAGCTACTTGGGAGGCTGAGGCAGGAGACTCGCTTGAGCCCAGGAGTTGGAGGTTGCTGTGAGCATGATGCCATGGCACTCTACCCAGGGGGATAGCTTGAGGCTCCGTCTCAAAAAAAAAAAAAAAAAAAAAGCCTACTACCTTCTGGTGTGTGATGGGCAATCACATACCAGAGCCAGAAGGAAATGTCAGAGGTGTGTCCCCCTCCAGCTTCCACTTGGTTACTTTGGGTGTTGCACACTCCCTTCTTTCTGAGAGTCTCATCAGTGTAAACCCCTACTGTATGCTGGCCCTACTTGAGGCCTTGGAGACCCAGAGATGAGCCATCTCATCCCTGTCCCTGCCTGTTAGGGACTGGCAGCCTACTTGGGGAGATGGATTTGTGTCTAGGTCATTACAGCCCAGAGTAGGAAGCACAGAGGACTTTTAGGAAAATTTAGGAGGACCTCAATACAGCCTGGAAAGAAAAGGGAGGACTTCCTGGAGAAAGGGAATGAAGGAAACAGAGCAGTGAGGTGCTTGGGCAGTGGCTTCTTTGTCTCCAGCTGTGTGACTTTTGGCAAGTTACTTAACCTCTCTGTGCCTCAGTTTCCTCTTCTATAGGGTCAGGATACTAGTGGTACTTCCTCTGGGAGGAATAGGGAGGAAAACACAGGAAGAATATTAGACCCTTGGCCTAGGTCAGGGCACAAAATATACACGTGGGGCATGAGAGTTGGGTTTGTTTTGAAGTCAGAGCTAAGCTGCAACCTGGATGACTTAAGTGGATTAATCCACAGGAGAGATGATGGAAGAGTATTCCCAGCAGCGGAACAGCTTTTGCAGGAGTTAGACTATGGACATTTGGGCAGGTCATTGTCTGTTCTGGATCTGTCCTGGGCACTGTAGGTGCTGAGTGGCGGCCCCACCCATCCCATGCTAAGAGCACCCCCCAGTGGTGACAAACGAAAAATGCCCTCAGACATTGCCAAATGTCTCTTCAGGACAAAATCCCCCTGTGAATGATCATTGGCATATGCAAATGACTCAAAGGGAGAGAGGAGAAGGAGTGTGACCCTAATTCTGGAATCTGCTTGTGGAATTCATGGGTGGGCTGCTCTCTCTCTCCAGAAGCCCCTTCCCATCTATTCTAGTCCCACACATCTTTGCCAAGAAGACAGACAGGTACCTTGTTTTGCAAAGGAAACCCTGAGAAGCCAGGTGCGGTGGCTCACACCTGTCATCCTAGCACTCTGGGAGGCTGAGGCAGGTGAATTGCCTGACCTCACAAGTTGAAGACCAACCAGAGCAAGTGTGAGACCCTGTCTCTAAAAAATAGCCAGGCATTGTGGCAGGGGCCTGTAGTCCCAGCTACTCAGGAGGCTAAGGCAAGAGAATTGCTTGAGCCCAAGAGTTTGAGGTTGCTGCGAGCTGTGATGCCACGACACTCTACCAAGGGCGACAGAGTGAGACCCTGTCTCAAAAAAAAAAAAGGAAAACCCTGAGGCTTAGAGAGGCACCATCTCCTGCACCAGGTCACCATAGTGGCAAGCAGATGCACAAGGACATGGAACCTGTTGATGGAACCTGTTGGCCCCTTTGCAGAGGCTTCCTCAGGCCCCCTCACTCACTGCCTTTTGTGGGGCTCCTGCAATGTGTTAAGCCACTCACTGACACTCCTTTCCCCAGCAACACTCTATGAGGTCTGTGCTGCCCCTGAGGAAACTAAGGCCCAGAGGTCCCATGGCAAGGAAGGGACAGAACCTAGAGCAGGCATCCTCAAACTACAGCCCATAGGCCACACGCAGCCTGCCTAGGACATTTATCCAGCCCACTGGGTGTTTTTGCCGCCACTGCCTATCCTGTTTAGCAGCCAACTCGTCCTAGGGCCCGCAGTCCGGCCCTCCAACAGTCTGAGGGACAATGAACTGGCCCCTGTTTAAAAGTTTGAGGACCCCTGCCTAGAGTTTATGCCCAATGCTGCCACCACCCGGTCCAACCCCCGGAAGACACAGCTGGGGTCTGTGAACATTTTGTAGCCACTCAGGTCCCAGGAGAGACCAATCTGAACAGGCCTGGCCACTAGACTGAGGCAGAGTCCTTTAGGTTCCCAGTAGGGCCCCAGCTGGGCAAGGTCTCCACCCCGAAGGTGCCCTTAGCTTCTGGCCACACTCCCAAGATGCTCCTCCTCCTTTTCCTCCTCCTCATCCTCTTCCTCCTCCTTCTCCTGTCAGCCCAGCTGCTCCAGCTTCCTGTCTAGACAGCCCCCAATCAGCCACTTATTAATAGGGTTAAGCTGATTAGAGCAGCTCTCCTCTCCTCTGCAGTGGCCAGGCCAGGCATTTCTCCTGGGCAGCACTCAGCTAGCCCCCGCCCCCTGCCCCCCGGCTCTCTGTAGCCACATGCCTGTGCCCAGCAAGGACAGAGGCCTGGGGGTGCTCATGCCAGCCCCATGCCAGGCAAGAACCCCACAGCCATCCCTCTTAGGCCCCATGCACCAGTCTCTAAGCCTCCAGGCCTTTGTCTGCCCCTTGCTACCTCCTCTTGGGGCCTTACCTGATCACCCACCCACACAGGGCAAAAGGAGGGCACCCTTGGCGCAGCTGTTACATGTTCTGTTCTTGCTGTTTTTGTAGCCCTCTACCCCTGCAAAGGAGACACAGGCCTCACAATTGGGCAGCTATCATACAGGGTGACACAGGCCAAGGGTTTCTCCCACACCTTTTTTCACTCAGGGCGGGGAAGGATAGTGGAACATGGCTCAGGTAAGGAGAGAGTGGAGTTCCAGGATCAGCCCCGTCTCTTCTTGGCACTGTGGCCTTGGATGGATGATTCTCCTATCAGGCCTCAGATTTTGCATCTGTGAAATGCAGAGGAAAACCCTGAGAGGCAGCCTCCATTTCCTGTAGGCTCTGCATGGGGCACCCAGGAGGCACACCACATGAGAGGAGGCCCATGTCCTCACAGGAGGGTCCTCACCCTGAGCAGTTTGGCCCTCTGGGGATGCTGGGCAACATCTGGAGACATGGAACGTTTGTGGTTGTCACGGGGTAGGAGGTGGTTGCCTAACACAAGGACAGCTCCACCCCAGAGAACCATCAACCCCGAGATCCACAGTGTGCCTAGGGAGAGGGTTAGGGGATATCAGGCCAGATGTGAGGGAAGCTAAATGTATAAAATGTAAAAATCATTTCTAAAAACGTGGCTTACCAGGCCACACTTGCCTGAGATTCTAATTCCAGGAATGGGGCAGGGCCCAGGGCTCTACATTTTGTGTAGGTGAGACTCAATCCTTAGCTCTCACTTGAAAAGGCTTTACAGGGGAGGATGCTGGCAGGGTAGGGGGTGAGGAGAGGAGAGCTGAGAAGAGCTAGTTTTTCCAGACACACACCCAGCACGGGGGTGGTCTGTCTTCAGCCTGATGATGCTGGTGGCTCCTTGAGCCGTCGTAGGCCAGGGGCTCTGCGAAGTCAGCATGTGTCTGTTTTACAGATGAACAGGCCAAGTCACCCCCCAGGAAGGCCCAGCCACTCTGACTCCATAGTTATAACTCCAGGCTAGCCTCCTAGAATCCCTCTCATGTTCCTCATGGAGCCTCTGTATTCTAGCTTCATTTTCAAGGCAGGGGATACAAGTGTCAAGGGTCCCCAGAGTCCCCCCGCCCACCCAAAATAGCAGCAGCAGTGTCAGCTCCTGTAATAACAGTGCTCCTCATTGTACCTCTGGACAGCTGACTTTCCCTCAGAAAATTAGGACCAAAGAAATCCTTGGAAAAAATGTCCCTATGTCCAAGGATCCTGGACAGCAGTGGCTTGTTCCTACAGGAGCAGCCCAGAGCAAATCCTTAGTCCTCACAGTTGCCATTCCCAAACAGCTCCCAGTGAGAAGGTCTAGAGCAGGGTCCTCAAACTTTTTAAACAGGGGGACAGTTCACTGTCCCTCAGACCATTGGAAGGCCGGACTGCGGGCCCCGGGATGAGTCAGCTGCTAAGCAGGACAGGTAGCAGCGGCAAAAACACCCAGTGGGCTGGATAAATGTCCTTGAAAGGCCACATGTGGCCCGCGGGCCATAGTTTGAGGACCCTGGTCTAGAGTTTTGAGATTCCTGTTTTATGAAAAAGAGTGGCTGCTGCTTCCTCCTCCCCCCCAGGTCATACAGCTTCCTGGGTTTAAACTCCAGACTGGCTGCCTCCCCCACACCCTGGGGCTTTCCCAGTGGGAAAGAGAAACCAGCATTCAGTGGTTGGGCAGCCTTGGGGGCACCCACTTAAGTCCTTGCATCCATTTCTTCATTCATTCATTCATTTATTCATTCACCGAGGGAGGTGTGAGGAACTAAGCCAAAGCCTGTTGGGTTCCCAAGGGCAGCGAGGCTCCTGGCTGGTAGTGAGGCTCCTGTCTGTGCAGTGTAACCAGTAGGAATTACCAAGGGCTGATGTATCTCCTTGAAGCATGAGGAAGGCTTCATTCCTCCCCATTGGCATGGCCTCAGGACCAGAACCCCAGTCACTTAGGGGGTGTCCATGTGCACTTAGCTGGTGGGGGCCTAACCAGGCTTTGAACCTGACCTTTATACCCACTCCTACCAGGAAAGTGGGGGCAGCCCTGAGCCATGCCATTTCTCTGGAAGAGAGAAGGTGAGGAGCATAGCTTTGAGGTCCAGGGGCCTTCATTGGCATCTCGCTCTTCATCCTGCTGGTTGTGCAACCATGGGAAGCCCCTGTCTCTGCCCTGAGCCTCAGTTCATTCTGCCATGCAATGGGCTCCCAGCATGGCACCTTCAGTATTCTAGCAGAAGGGGCCAGATTGGGTGGCTCACACCTGTACACCTAGCACTCTGGAAGGCCAAGGCTGGTGAATTGCCTGAGCTCAGGAGTTTGAGACTAGCCTGAGCCAGAGCGAGACTGCATCTCTAAAAATAGCTGTGTGTTGTGGCAGGCTCCTATAATCTCAGCTACTTGGAGGCTGAGGCAAGAGAGTCACTTGAGCCCAAGAGTTTGAGGTTGCTGTGAGCTGTGATGCCACAGAGCAACAAAGTAAGACTGTCTCAAAAAAAAATAATAATAAAGGATTCTAAGTATTCTAGCAGAAGATGAGACAGGGGAGATGATGCTAATCCTTTGGATGCTGGCTCTTTGGGACATCCAGGGGCCCTGGGGTGTGACCAGCCTGTGACCCTCTAATCCCGCTGCCTCCATAGGCATCTCGTCCCCAGTGAAGAAGACAGAGATGGACAAGTCACCATTCAACAGTCCGTCCCCCCAGGACTCTCCCCGCCTCTCCAGCTTCACCCAGCACCACCGGCCTGTCATCGCCGTACACAGCGGTGAGCTCCGAGGACCCCAGGCAAGGAGGGCAGCAGGCCCTCTGATCATATGGCCAGGGAAGTCCCACCAGATGTTTGACCACAAGTCCTATTGCTGTAGCCTAGCCATGCAAAAAAAAAATAGAGGTTGCCATGATAGAGAGTTCCCAGGGCCTGGTCCCAGCCCTGCCATGGATGCAACTCCGCCTCTTTGGGCCTCAGTTTCCCCTTCTATATAAGAAGATGCCAAAGCCTGCATTCCATCCCCAGACACTGACTGACAGGCAGAATCAGAAGTTGCTGACAAGGCCATGGCTCTGCTGAGCCCAGAAGAGTCAGGCTGCCTCCCTCTGCCTATTTCATAGGCCATAAGGCCAATGCTCAGACTGAGGGCAGGGCCTGCCTGGGGTCAGTCACAACCTCAGAGGCAAGGGGACCTCATGAAGTTACGTGCGAGAGACCCATAGATGGACCACAGGTCATAGTGACAGAAAAGATGTAGACATTGGGCAGCCTCAGGTCCGGGGCTGAGCCAGTTACTGTATGCTTGGCCTTCCATTTGCTCACCTGTCAACTGAGGCTAATAAATGTCCTCACCTCCCAAGGTTGTCATTAGGGGTGCATCATGAGAAGCCTTAGATATTGAGTGTTACTCCCACATTATAATGGTTAATTACTCAGTTCCATACAAAGGCACAGCCTCATACACAGGGACATGGCACAAATCAAAACATTGACTGATTTGGGCTAGGGGTGAGCAAATTACAGCCCGTGGGTCCCTGTTCTTATAAATGAAGTTTTATTGACACATGGCCATGACTAACCCTTCATATGTCTCCCTGGCTGCTTCCACACTGCAGGAGTAGACTATAGACCCTAATGGCCGCAAAGCCAAAAGTATTTGCTGTCTGGCCAGGGCTGGGGGAGGTGGTGGGAGTTGACTGCTAATAGGGACAAGGCTTTCTTTGGGGGCAATGAGAATGTTCTGGAATTAGACAGTGGCATTGATTGCACACTTTGTGAAAATACTGAAAACTAGTGATTTGGGCACTTTAACTGGGTGAATTTTATCTCGGTTTTTTAAATAATATTCATTCTCCAGCTCTTTATGGAAAGAGTTTGCTGACCTCAAGTTTAAAGTGTAGAGCATGAGGCCACATGCCTGGGCTCAAGTCCCAGATCCGCCACCTGCTTGCTATATGACCTCAGGCCAGTGGTGTATCCTCTGGGGGGCACAATGTTATCTTCTCTTTGGAAAAAAACCATGGCCAGGCTCAGTGGCTCACACCTGTAATCTTAGCACTCTGGAAGGGCAAGGTGGGTAGATTGCTTGAAGCCAGGAGTTTGAGACCAGCCTGAGCAAGAGTGAGACCCCATCTCTACTAAAATAGAAAAACTTGAGCCCAGGAGTTTGCTCTAGCTGGGTGACAAAGCATGAGCCCATCTCAAAGAACAAACAAAAGAAAACAGGGATGATACTGGAACCTGATGAGGTGACCATGCAAGTCAGGGAATTTGGGGGATAAATGACATCTGGGCCCAGCCTGTAGTCAGGCTGTTTGGTTTTGTTATTGTTGTTATTATTAGTAAATGTACCAAGTGGCAGGCCCACACCCCCAGACACATGTCATGGACCCATAGCAGACGAGCCCCAAATGACTGCCGCCTCCTACTGTTTCCACAGGGATTGCCCGGAGTCCCCACCCGTCCTCAGCCCTGCATTTCCCCACAACGTCCATCTTGCCCCAGACCGCATCCACCTACTTCCCCCACACGGCCATCCGATACCCGCCTCATCTCAACCCCCAGGACCCGCTCAAAGATCTCGTCTCACTGGCCTGCGACCCAGCCAGCCAGCAGCCCGGACCGGTGAGTAGGATGAGCACAGGCCTGTCCTGGTGGCAGCAGGTAACCTCCTGACGGCCACAGCTCAAATTCAACTTCTGTTTTAAATGGTTTTGAGGAATCAGGTACCAGGTCCCTTCAACTGCATAGCACTAGGCATCAGCTATCAGGGGTTGGAATTCAGACTCTTCCAGATATGAAGGTCTCTGGCACACATGTGACGTTGTGCCCTGAGGGACCCAGGCCAGCGGCTGCAGCAAACCCTGTACACGAGGGCTTGAGGTGCTCCAGGCAAGTAGACACCATCTGGAAAACACACACCAGGATCAGTGCAGGCCAACTCCTGCCATGTCTCCACAGGACACTTTAGCACTCAGAGCTATACAAAGTTCGGAACCTTGGGCAAGGTGTCATACCACTGTGTACTCCTGGGGAATTAGGAAGAATGCCCAGAGGAGGTTAGGAGGAGGTGGCATCATTTGGAAAGAAGATGAGTTAGTATACTGGTGGCTTAAGGAATAGATATAGGGAGTGTGACCCCAGCAATGCCAGGGACTCAGGTGATGCCAACCAGAGGGCGTCTCCGGGGACACCCCCCCCACCTCCAGCCGTTCTCAGACCCACCAAACTCATCATGGCCACTCCAGCTGCGCCGTGGACAGAGCTGGGGGCGTCTGGCGCCAGCAGCTCGAGGCAGAGGGGGCCCCTGCCCCCTTAACCACGTGTCTCTCTGTTCCCCCCAGTTAAATGGAAGTGGTCAGCTCAAAATGTCCAGCCACTGCCTTTCCACCCAGATGCTGGCGCCTCCGCCCCCGGGGCTGTCTCGGCTGGCGCTCCCCCCTGCCACCAAACCCACCGCCACCTCCGAGGGAGGAGCCACGTCACAGACCTCACCCAGTAAGCACGTGGGAAGTGGTGCCCCCGGTGGAGCGGATGTCCCCAGGGCCCCCCTGCCCTTCCCAGCCCGATTTCTGGGCTCAGAGGTTAGGCCTGGCCAGGCAGGTCCTGGTGAGTTTGGTGGGTCTGCAGAGAACAGCGTGGGGGCCATGTGATCAGGCTGGCATGTGATCAAGGCAGCCTCAAGGGATGGCAGCACTGAGCCACAGTCCAGGGTGAGAAGCCAGGGTCTGCACCCTTCGCTCAGTGGCCTGGAGGCTCCAAGTGACCACTGTGGGCCTCTGAAAGCCCCCTACGTTGAATAGCTGGTACTGGACTAAGATTTCCAATTGGTGACCTGAGGGCCAGCCCCAGCCCCCAGATGTGTTTTGTTTGTGGAAAATAAGAATTTGTTGTTACTGTTTTAAAATCAGGATGTTTCACATAAAAATGTCCAGAGTTCTAGCTTCTGGGGATGGAGAACAAGCCACCCTGGGCCCCATGTTCCTTTAGGTGACCTGGGCTGGGGCTAGGACCATCCCTTCCTACCCTCCTGATCCTGGAAGGAGGAACATTGGCAGCCCTCCACCTTCTAGATGTTTCTGCCCCTACATGTAGTTCAAGGTTACAGTCTGCTGACCCCTCACCCACTCTCTGATTTGGGGCAACCTCAGTCTGGGAAACAATTCCCCAGATCCCCATCCTGAGGTTCACTGGTGCCTCTGCCCCCAGAATCTCTCTGCAACTCCCATGCAGGCTTGGGTGGGCCATCTACCCTCCTTCACACTGCCTGGGCTAAGTGGCCCCTCCTGTCCCTAAAGACAGGCTTCCCCTGAGCATCAGCCCCAGTGACCATGCTGTGGTCAGCCCCAAAGCCGCCTCTGCAGCTCACGCTCTGTATGACCTTAGACAAATATCCTCCCCTCTCTGAGCCTCAGTTTTCTCAGCAGCTGGGAATGGGTCAGTCCCAAGCACATAAGTGGCAGGACGGTGGGAAGCAAGCCAGGGACATGGGCCAGGGAGGCTGTGGGAGGACATTTCACATGGCACCAGGTACAGAAGAAAGTCAGTGCAGAGCACTGCCAGCTCTTGCCGACCTCCTCACTTGCTCAGCTGTGAAATGGGAGTAATAATAGTGCTTCCTGGGTCCACTGAGGGGTAAGCGGGCTTATGCCCAGTGTCTTGTGTGAAATAGGCACTTAATAGAATAAGAATACTTAACCAGAATAAGCATGGTTCCCTCCTCCTCCCCTGGACTGGGTCTCTTAACTGCAAATCCATTTTGATTAACCCCCCAGAACTCGCTGCTTCCCACTTACCCCCATGCTGGCCAAGAACAGTCAGGAACATGCCTGTGACTGCCTCCCCTCCCTGCCTTAGGTCCCAGCCTGTTTGAGGCTCCTGACCCCCTGGCAGAACATAATTAGTGAGATGAAAAGCTCTGTGTATATGTGTATGCAAACACCCAGGCCATTCTATGCCCTCTCCAAGAGGAAAATTAATAAATAAAGTGCCCTCAATAATTCATGGCACACTGTGTGGGATGCAGGCCTCAGCGGCAGGATGGAGCAGTCAGTGGAACACCCTGAATAATTCACAGGCGGTTTTTGAATTATGAATCTTTCATCCTCTGCCCCCGCCAACTCCTACCTCAGTGAGTTTAGCTGTGACCCTGGATCCCCTCAAGTCAGGATCCCTATCCCCCAACCAAGTACCTCAGGCTTTTTGGGGGCCCGGTTCAGCCGGGAGAGGGTGGCAGGCTCAGAGGCCCTGGGTGCTAGGTGCACAGGCCTGGCTGTGTGCCACTGGGCAGTGGCCACTCTCTCTGGGCCCAGCCCAGGGATGCCTCTGCTCCTTCGTGCCCCTTGCTAACGGGCTCTCGGTCTCTCTCCTCCCCACAGCCTACTCTACGCCCGACACGTCCCCTGCAAACCGTTCCTTTGTGGGATTAGGACCAAGGGATCCTGCAGGCATTTATCAGGCACAGGTAGGGGCCAAGAGGCTGGCTGGGGTGTGGGAGGGCATGGCAGAGGGGCCGGCCTGGGGGGCATAGGGAGAGGCAGGCCTGCTGCCTGGGCCTAGAGCCCCCACCTGGCTTTTCTTTGAGGCCCGAGGACCCGGCATGACCAGATTTCCCCCAACCTTTCCTGGGGCATGTGGTTTGGCCCCATGCCCCGCCTGCCACTTCCCTAGGGCATTCCATTGCTGGGATTCCATTTGTACAGATGGGGAAACTGAGGCCCAGAGATGCAAAGGAATCTACCTAGGATCACACAGCATATCAGCTAGGACTCTCCACCCCCTCCCCAGCCTTCATCCCCTTCTATGCCACTGGGCCAGCAGGATGGGAGGGTGGCCACCTACAGCAGGGGACCTCTCAGGATAGCATCTGAGCCCCAACCCCTGACACAGGGTAGGGCAGGGACAGTGCTCACTCTGCTACTGCAGATGAGCATGCACAGGAAGGAAGGACCAAAGGAGGCTCAGAGAGGGGACGTGAGTTGTCTGAGGCTCACAGCAGTGGAGAGCAGAGTCCTGTAGATCTAAATTAGGGCCTACACTCAGTTTCCTCAGCCCTGCCCAAGTGTCCCCAACACCCACCACCTGTTCAGGAGTTCTTATTATGGCATGTGTGGGCCAATAGTATGTTGATAGCCTGTGTCTGAAGGTGGTGGCTGGACCCCAGAGCCTCTGCCTCCAGGTTATGTTGGAGATGGGGGCCAAGCCACCCAGAGGAACCAACTCAGGCTCACCCAGTGGCTCTAGAACTGTGTGGAGCATGAGGATTAGAAAATGTCCCCTGGGGCTGTGTTCAGGTCCTCCAGCCACTGCAGGAAGTTTTCCACAGATAGGGCTCAGGGGACATCTGTGTCCCCCATGGAAGCTCTAACATGCCCCGGCCTCCTGGGACTCTCCATGGTTGGCCTGGTTCTTCCTGGGACTCAGGAGGACCAGAGTGTTGGAGGAAGATGTGATGTACCCTGTCCCTCCCTGTCCAGGCACCAGCTGGGCCCCCAAGGAGCCTCAGGCCTGTAGGCAGCTCCTCCATTTCCTCCCAGCTCCACTTGGCCCTGGTCCTGCTATTCCACAAAACCAGCCAGAAGACACAGGAGGCCTTGGGCTGCTTCTCCTAGGTTCCGGGAAGACCTATATGTTAGAGGTAGCATCCTGGGATCAGGAGACTAGGGCTCCAGACCAGTGCTTCCTCACGTGACCACCCTGAACCTCAGTCTGTTCCTCTGGCCTTGGGCATCCCTTCCCCAGAGCCTTCAAAGGACATAGGAGGACTGGCTTCATCCAGAAATGGCACCAAAAGATCAAGACCTCCCCATACACACCACACATGAAGCATTCTGCCTTGCACTGGCACAGCCTTGGGGGACCAGGGAGGGACATCACCCAACAAACCAAAGAGGGTCCTGGGCTAGCCCTTCTTTTGGCTTTGAGACCCCCATGGCCACCCTCTCTCCCCTAGTGCTGATGGAGCCAGGCGCCTCCCTTCCTGCTCCTATCCCACATCTTTCCCTGCAGGAGGCTGGGAATGTCCTAATTGCTTCAGAAGCCAAAGCTAATAAAAAGTCCTGGAAGGAAATGCCAGCTTTAGCTTTCCCAGCTTCCTGACCTGACCTCCCACCAGGGTCTGGGGATCCCAGTCCAGTCTGCAACCTCACCCCACGGAGCTAGAGAAGAGGGAAACCAAGTCAGGCAATGGCAGCATCTTGGGTCCTAACACTTCTTGGCATCCCTCTCTTGGCCAACCAGACCCCTCTGAGAACTCAGAGAGGGTAGGACAAGGGCTGGCAGAACCTTGGGTGGGTGGGCAGCAGAGTTGGGTAGCAAAGACTGGCTCAGCGGAGAAGGGGGCATGGTGTTCAGGCAGGGGACTCAGCACAGGCAAAGGTGTGTAGGGACAGTGGAGAGACAGCCCCAATGTGGATGACCTCCCATGGCAAGTTGGCAGACTGACAGCTCAGGCTCCTCCCACCAGGTCAGGGAGTGGGGAGCCATGGAAGGGTAAGAGTGAGGGAGGGAAACAGCCAGGTCTGGTAGTTCGAAAGAACTCTCTGGGGTACCAAACGGAAGTGACATATTGCTGAGAGACTCTCAGGGGAGGATGGGTTGGTGGATGAGGCAGAGTCCCCAAGCTGGATGTTATTGGGGTGTGCATATCTGAGGGAGGGCCCTGCTGGTGCTGCCCAGGCTGGGCCACAGGCCCCTATAATGGCAGCCCCCCAGAGTGAGACCAAGCACTGAGGAAGGGATGGGGAGAGGGAGGAGGAAAAAACACTGAGACATAGCACCCCCACCTCAGCCCCTACTCCAAGGCCTTAGGATTGTGGCCAGTCAGCACTTTTGCCCCCACCTTCCTGGTTCCTGGTAGTTTGCTTCCCTCTGCCTCTCCTCCCCGTTGAGCAAGACCCTCTCCATCTCCTGACTCCCCATCCAGCAGTCCCACCCCCAATCAATATCCTATCCCCCCCATCAGTGTCAATTGATCCTCCCCTAGTCAGTCACCCATGCATCCTACCCTTCCCTTCACACCTTTCCCTTCCAGTCCCCCCAGAGAGGACTTGGTCTCAGCCTCACCACTATGATCCACCAGATAAATCACATGCCCAGAGCCACACTGGCAGCTGCAGGCAGCACTGCCTTGATCTCCCGATCTCCCTAACACAAGTAAGAGGGTGCCCCCCCCCCACTACTGGGGCCAGAGCCAGGCAGATGCTGGGGCCGGGCAAGAACGGCTGAGGGGAGCAGTCCACTACGGGGAGGGTGGAGGGTCACGCCCAGAGTCTGTCTGGTTGCCAGCAGAAACCAGACATGAGGTAATGGCCAAGATGAACTTGAACTTGGCTGGAGGTAGGGGGCTGGGAACCACCGCGGCGCCAGTGAGATGGTATGACCCAGTGGCTGCCTGGTTGGAGGGGGCTCAATTGATCGATTTCCTGCAGGGGTGGAGGGCAGCTCTGCGTGGAGTGCTCCTCCCCTACCCACAGCCCAGACTAGATGCTCCAGAGTTGGGGTTTGTGTTTCTGGGATGAAAGTCTGTACAGCCGCTTCTCTGCCGAGACTGAGCCTAGAGCTATCCACAAATCACATGTCCCTGTAGTGCAGCCCCGTGAACACCTCCTCTGACTAAGCCTCAGTTTTCCCTTCTATAAAATGGGAGGCAAGGGGAAAATACCGATGACTGGACTGAAATCTACCCTTAACTCCTTTGCTCTCCTTAAGCTTCTGTGACAGAGCAGGGCCCAGACAGTCCTGAGAGGGTCCTGAGAGGCTAGCCCCAGGCAGAAGCAGAAATGTGACCTAGAGCCAGACAGCCCTGAGTTAGAGTTCCCACTCTGCTACTTTCCCACACTGGAGACCTTGGGCAAGTGATGTGACTTCTCTAAGCCTCACTTTCTTCACTGCAGAACACAGTGGCAGGGAGAGACCTAGTCCCTCCGTGGGGCCTCCTGTGGGGGGAACATTAAATGGGAAAAAGTATGCTTTATAGAAGTAAACAATCCTGTTCACTGTGCCCAGGGAGGGTTATGCTCCATAAAAGCTCACTCATTTGCCTCCATGTCTTGGGGGATGGGGACACGAGGCAGAAACATACCTTCCTTCCCCACCAAAACTTCCCCTCACCCTCATTTTATAGTCAGGGCAAGCAGCTCAAAGGTTAGGTTGCCACGTTTAGCAAATAAAAATATAGGCTAGTGAGTTAAATTTGAATTCTAGATCAACAGGAGTATAAGTGTATCCCCAGATTATCATGGGCTAGACTTATGCTATATAAGTATAACCCCAACATTGGATGGGATAGACTTTTATACAAAAAAATTCTGAGGCTAGCCAGGTGGCTCACACCTGGGGAGGGTTGAGGAAGACTGAGGTAGGATTGATTGAAGCCAGGAGTTTGAGAACAGCCTGAGCAAGAGTGAGACCCTCTATCTCTAGAAAACAGAAAAATTAGCTGGGCGTGGTGGTGGGCACTTGTAGTCCCAGCTACTGGCGGGGTGGAGGTAGGAGAATCACTTGAGCCCAAGATTAAGGAGAAAAAAAACCCAAACCCACCCAACCAAGAAGACACCACTGCACTCCAGCTTGGGTGACAAAGTGAAACCCTATCTCAAAAAAAAGAAAAAGAAAAAAATTCTGAGTGATTTACCTAGAATTCAGATTTCACTGGGGACCCTGTATTTTACCTGGCAGCCTTTTTCAGAGGCAGAATCACTTGCCAAGTGTCACCTAGCAGATACGTAATGACAGCTGGGATGGGGAAACTGAGGTCATGGGGTTGCAGGAGTTAGGTGGGTGGGTGTGGGAAAAGGCAAGGTCAGTGGCAGAGCCAGACGCCTCAATTTCTCTCTCTCTTTCTCTTTCTCTCCCTCCTCACTCCACTGGGCCACCTAGTCCTGGTATCTGGGATAACACAGGTCTTCTTCCCACGCCCCGTCTCCATCATCCCAAGAATCCCAGGGGCCAGCACAGCCCCCACGTTTTCAGTGGAAAATTAGAGCGAGCGAGAACACCCCCGCCGACTCTCAGCCTGGCAAAAAGAAAAAAAAAAAACATACAGATGCATACACCACGAAGGAAGAAAAGGAAAACAAAAAGACAAACAGGAAAATAAAAATAAGGAAAAAAAACCCAAACCCACCCAACCAAGAAGACAAAAGGTAAAGACGTTTCCAGCTCTCTTGGGATGCCAAGGCCACAGAATTGGAGGGCCAGGCCCTGCCACCCAATGGGAGACCACATGACGGGGCGTCTTCCTAAGTTATTCATCTCCTGTCCACCCGCTGCTCCAGAAGGACAGATGCCCAACTCTGCCTGAGACCAGGTGAGCACAGCCTGGCATCCACACCCAGGCCCAACGGGTGGGACATCCAGAAAGACCACCTCTCCCTGGGCAACCCCTGCTGGAACATGGACCAGCCCCCCCTGTGGATCAGTCACTGGTGGGGACCAGGAAAGACCCAGGATCCTGGCTGGCCATGGGCAGCAGAGACCTTGGTGGCAGGTTGGCAGGTGGTGAGGGCACAGGAGGGTGTGTGGCACGACGGATGCACAGATGGATGTGTGGCAGGCGCCTTCTGCCCCTCAAGAGGGTCCTGCTGTTTGGCCTCCCCCTTCCATGCCCCTGCAAAATGCTCAGTGGACTGGCTCTCTCTCGCTGGGGACTTGGTCTCTCAGCCCTCACGCCTGCCCCATTTGGGAGGAGAAGTCTCTATGCAATTGACCCCAGCCATACCCCCAGGATAGGAGGCCACCCCCTCACCTACTCCCAGCCCAGCTTGGCACCCCCCCAGGGGAGGGATCCATGTTGCACACACTGTAAGAAATGCACTTTCCAAGGAAGGGGATGGGGGGAGCTGGGAGACCCAGAACTACCTGAGAAATCGGAGTGCTCCCAAAAAAGGGGGGTGCCCCAGTCTAGAGTGTCTGGGATGGGAGGAGCCTCCCCCCAACTAGCCCCTGGAGGTGGGAGGTGAGAGCGAGTGGTTTAAGTGCCTGATCTCCAACACCCGCCCCCTCCTTGTCCAGCTGGGATGTGGGGGGCTGCGGGCATCCCTCCCCCTCTACCCCATCCCTGCCACCTCCCATCGTGAACACCTCATTGCCATGTCCCCCTCAGAGCTAGAGAGAGCTGGGCGTCCCCCAAGCACCCCGCCCTGCGGGGGGCACGGGGTGGGTTCTGGGGAAGCCGGAGTGCCCCCACGCCCCCTCTGCCAGTGCCTTACATCCTGGAGTGACACCCCATTCCTCCCAGCAAGAAGCGGGACCACCTGTTTGCACTTTCACCTCCCCCAGCAAGTGAAGCAAAGTGGGACACAGTGGGGAGGTGTCATCACCAGGCCCCCCGGAAGGAGAAGAGAGAAGGCTGGGTGGACAGGTGGGAGGTGCCCGCTCAGAGCCTGGGCGGGGAGGGCTCTGGCTGGTGGGGGTTGTCAACGCCGGCATCTTGGGGCCCCCTACAGCCATGTAGGGGCCTCCCATCTGCTAAGCATTTTCCGTTGAGCCGCTCCAAAAACACTAAGCTGGGGATGCCAGGTGCCCCCACGCCAGCTCCCTGGCCCCATCCACGCCCCTGTCCCCAACCCCACCCTGGGATTGCCATTTTGAGGGGGAGGCCTGGGAGGAGTATTAGATGTTTTTAGGGCCACCAAGCCCAAACATAGGGACCCCTCCCTGGGCCATCCATCTCAGCCCCAACTGACCTTCATGCCTGGCGCTAGGGAATGTCTGCTATCCTCCAGCACAGTTCCCTAACCCCTGCCCTCAGGTCAAAGCCATTGTCTAGGGCGAGGCCTCCCAGTGTCACCCATTCCCGGCCTGGTCCCAACTCCTTGGAAACCAGACTCTTCTCCCAAACCAGACTTTTCTCCCCCGGGGCTTGGCAAACCCACTGGATCCTAAAGAGAAAGACCCCAGACAGACCCTTCCCCACCAACCCCCCACCCTGTGCCCAAAGAGGTTCCCCTATCCTCTGGCCTCAATCCCTTGGTTCCTCCGTCCATCCTCAGGGCCCCTCCACAGGGTGCGTGCTTGAGGATAACAGCAAGGGCCGCTCTCCAGGAGGGTGGGAGAGTCGTGCGGTCAGGGGTATCCAGAAGCTTCTCAGCCAGGGTGGGGGGGTTGGTGGGTGGGAGCGGGTCGTACTGGGATTGGCACAAGGAGAACCGACTCTTTACCTAACTTTGCATGGTGCTTAGTCAAGGACTTCTGTGACCTGGCTCCTGACGTCAGCTCGCAGCGGCTGACACATGCATGGCAGATTATACCTGGCTCTATCCTCCCTTCTCCCCCTTTCCCTCCATCCCACACTTCCTCTTTGAAAACAAAACAAAACAAACAAAAAAAAAACCAAAAAAAAAAGGTACAAAAAATATAAAAAAATTCCATGTTTCCTAATTTGCACGAAATTTTCTACCACATGATGTGCCTTGCCTTCCGAGAATAAGTATTACCTTTAAACAATATCAGCGCACACAGATAGCTGCATGTACTGCTCGTGTAGTTAAAAACAAAACAAAAAAGAGACAAAACAATGACATGAAATAAAAAATGAAAATTGAAAAGGGATGTATTTCTATTTGTAAAAAAAAAAAAAAGAAAATGAGAATTAAAGGAAAAATGACGCTAAAAAAGCAAGCCACAAAACAATTGCCCCTGTGGTCTGCCCCCACCCACCCTTCCTTGGTTCAGACTCCACATCTCCTGCTATATTTTGGGGTGCTCTATGGTGCTTACCTTCTGCTACCCCCAGTCCTCCTCCTGGGCTCCAGAGGGGTCATTTCAGAATCCCCTGCCCAGAGGACAGACCTCAGGGGTGCACCTAGGTCGCAGGCAAGGGCTTCTCCTTGCCAGGTGGTCACAAGGCCAGCCCCCAGATGCCATGCACCCCCCCAGGCAGTCCCTTCACCATGGGGTAGCCACCCTGCCACAGCCAGACTCCCCAATCCTGGCCATCTATGCAGGCTGGCATCCCCTGGCTCAGGGTCAAATTGCTATCCCACTCCTACCCCAGAGGTATCCCCTCTCCCCTACCTTTTTTGCCAAAGGACCTTGTCCCTGTCTTGGGACCAGCCTGGGGTGGCATTCCATCCCGCTCCCTCCCATGCCCCTAACTAACTCCTGTTCTCTGTCTTCCAGCCATGAATAGGTAGGACATCCAGTATGAAACAAAGAAAAAAACCCTGATATATGCAATATCTGTCTGTCTGTACCCGGGGACCCAGCTCAACCATGGGAGGGGTGTGGGGACAGCCAGGGGACGTCAAGTCACAGACCCTGGTCCTAGTGGTAGACTGTGCTGTTGTCTTGTCCTCGGTTTTATTTTGTCTTATTTCTTTTCTTTTATTTTTAATTCTAATTTCCTTTACTTTTTACTTGACCAAAGCTAAGACAATAGCCAGATGGTTAGTGGGGTAGCCTGGAGAGGACAGGGGACAGGACTCTCCAGCCTTAGGCCGTCCCCTCACCCCACACCACCTCCAGTCCCCACCTGTGCCCCATCAAGATGTTCAGGACCCCAGGCAGATGGCCCCTATTCATTCGCCCATTGCCCCCTAGGATTTAGGATTGTTTCAAGAGCCATGATCTTACATTAATGCCATGTTTTCATCCCAGAAGACACCTCAGCAAGCCCCACAGGACAGAGAGAGCCCAGACCACCTCAGTTGGCCAGGACACTGGCCCTCAGCTCTGCCCCTTGACCAGAGAGAGCCCAGTGTATTCATGTGGCTGATTCCTGGTTCTCATTTTTCCCCTCCCGAATGAACCTGTGTTCCCTGGGTAGGTAGGGAGGAAGTAACACCATCCCTGCACTACCTGTACCCCATGGCACCAGGGGGTGCCCAGAGCACCCTAGAAGGAAGACCAGGTGCCTCCCGCCCCCCAGCTTGCATTCTCAGTTCACCCAGGACCTCTGCTGAGTACACTAGGCAGATCCATGCCAGGCAGCATGTTGCCTGGAGGTTGTTTGGTTTTTTCTGCTTTTTCTCAGAGATGCTGCAGAGTTCCTGTAGGCCCCTCACTGCAGGCAGAATAAGGTAGAAATACCAGAATCCAGGATCCCATGTCATCTTTGTAGTTTTAGTTCATGGAGTGGATGCTGTCATGCCTAAGGGTGTTGGTTTTGGGTTTTTTATTAGCATTTATGAAACTGACATTTCAAAAGCCCCCCATCACCCACCTACCCACCCATCCTCTACCCACCCCATAAGAGGCTTGGTCCCATTGGCCATACCCATGCAAAGGCCCCCATCCCTCCAGCCTAACCCTGAGGTCCACCCCATGCTGTGGGAAAGAATAGGGAGGCCTCCCAAATATGCGCAGATTGCCTCATCCTTTTGTTCAGCCAGGTGGAGATGGGGCTTGGAGGGACATAAAGACCCAACCCTTTTTGACCAGCTATAGGAGGGTTCTGGGGGCTCCCATGCCCAGATCTGGAGCCCAGAAACCCACCCTGGGCTAGACAATCAGATCCCAAAGGAACACCCGATGGGACTGGGTTGGGAGGGCCCCTCTGTCTGCAGCTCCCCAAGAAGCAAACAATTCCAGCCTCAGCTCCACCAATCTCCCTCCCTGCTCTGGGACTTTCTGTCTGTCCCCAGCATCCCAAGGACAGGCAGACTTGCCCACACCACAGTGTCCCTTAAAAGACAGAGGCCAGGAGCAACCGTCCAGCCCTCCAGAAGAGACAGCACTCAGGCCCCCTCTGCCTCTGGCTTCTCCAATGGTACTTTGACCTCCAGCGTAGGGCTATACTGCACACACACACACACACACACACACATACACACACACACATATATATATATATATATATATATGTATATAATTTTGAATTTTTTTCCTCATAATCCAGAATATACAGTGGCTACTTTTTATGTTGGCCTGGATTCTCTCTCCGAGACCCTGAGTTTTACTTTCTTTTTTGAAGGGTGTTGGGAGATCCTTCTTCAAATTCAGCTTCTTCCACGTCCTTCCATCTTTCCCCCTTTTCACCCTTCCAGGCACTTCCTGAGAGTCTAACCTCCAAACTGACACCACAACCACCACCCCATCCATCCCTAAACGTTTCAGAGGGTGTGGGGTCAGGTCCAGCACCCCTGGCCCTCCAACCTCCGGTGAGGTGGGAGGCAGATCCAAAGCAATACCAGCAGGACTTGTTGCCAGTGATACCAAAACAGACTTTTCCCACGCAGTGCCTCACATGTCTACTGGTGTGGCTTTGGGGCCCTCTCCGCATCCCCGGCAGCACCCTCCAGGCCTCACTCAAACATGAGACAGGAATGTGGAGGGGGAACTTAACAGGAATAAGGGCTCCAGAGAGGAAGGACATCATACACCCCCAAGCTACCACCCTCACCTTCAACCTTCCATGAACACCTCCTGGCTGGATGGGAACTCTCTGCAAAGGGCACACAGGCTGCCCCAGCCCCTCCCCAGCAAACAGCCCACTCCCAAAATGCATCAAATCCCCATCGTCTTGTCTTGGGTCACAGCCAGGCACCGCCCAAAATCCAAACCTTCCTCAAGTCTAGGGGTTCCAGCTCATGCCCCCTGCTTCCTACCCACCCCGCCCTCAGCACCCCTACTTGGGGAGAGGAAAAGGAAAGGGACAGGATGGGGCGCATGGTATGGAGGGGCAGCAGGAACAAGGAAGAGAGATGTTTTCCTCTCTGGATTTTTTTTCCTCTTTTCCTCCTTTCTTCTCCTCCCCCCCTTAAGTTTTGGGGTGGTGGTGTTCTTCCTTTCCTTTTCTCTCTGAGATTTCTTTTTTTGAGATTTTTTGTTTGTTTCCATTTTGTATTTTACTGATATTACCAGGATAGTTTACTCTCTTTCTTGCTTTCTGCTTGCCGCACACACCGGATAACACACACACACACACACACACACACACACCCCTATGCTTATGAACCCAGTAGGGAGAAGGTTCTACCTGGGTCCACCACTCTCCTCCTTCTCCTGTTCTCCCTCCTCCCTGAGGCTGGGATGGGAAAGGAGACAAGAGGACATGATCTGGGCAGACCTAGCAGCTTTCTCCCCCTACCCGTGACCCTGCTTCCCCCCACATCATACTCCAATCATAACCTTGTATATTACATAGTCATTTTGGTTTTCGCCGATGCGCCTAAGTACCATTTACAGAAAGTGACTCTGGCTGTTATTATTTTCTTTGTTTGTTTCCCTATGCAAAAAAAATAATAATAATAATGAAAAAAGGGGGGTTCCATAAAAGATTCAATAAAAGATTTAAAAAAAAAGAAAAAATGTATAAAAATTAAACAAGCTATGCTTCGACTCTTCCTGGCTGTCTCCCGTACTCCTTTCTGCGTTCAGCTGGAACTATTTCATGTTCTGTTGTTAAGTGAGAGGTTGAGGCTGGAGGGGCAGCAGGGAGCAGGGATTCCAATGCCCTTTGATGGACAGGGAGGGGTTCTAGTACCTTCAGATCAAATGTCCCCTAGGGGACACTGAACATGTCTGGTGACATCTATTTTCTGGGGACCCAATTGTCAAGTTGGGGTGTGCCCCTGACATGGAGTAGGTGGAGACTAGGGATGCTGCTCAGCTTCCTGTGGTGCTCAGGATGGCCCCACCCCAGAGAACGATCTGGCCCCAGTGTTCACAGGGCCCAGTGGGACAGATCCTGGTTTAGACCTGCTGTAGTGATTTTCAGTGAGTTCTGGTTCCAGACCCACCCAGCTATGCCCCTGGTGGCTGCAACCTTCCTTGTAGGATAGGCCATGTCACACACTGGGCCTTTGCTCCAGCCATCCCCTCTGCATGTTGCTGCCTCTTCCTTCAGGAAGACTTCCAGGCTTTCCCCAGCCTGACTCCCTTCCCTACCAATCTCTGAGTGAGCCAGGACCTTCCATCAGTATTTTTCACTGGCATCTGTGGAGTACCTGCATGCCAGGCACAGGGGATTCCACCTTCACCTTTGACTAGTATAAGGACAGAACTTGGCACACAGTCAATGTTCCACAAATGCACAAAATACATTCTCGCTCTCATGCCACTGGGCAAATTCCCAATCATTCAGCAAAGATTTCCTAAGCACATGCTGAGTACCAAGCCCTGGGACAAAGTAAGAAACAAAACACCCAAAGTGACCTGCCTTCCTGGGGCTCACAGTTTCTCCCAAGTCAGGAAGAACAGTAAGCAATAAATGTGAGTAAAATATAGTAGAGGCCGTAAGTTCAGGGAAGACAAAAGAAAGTGAGGGTAGGAGAGTGGACCTTGCGGGACAGGTAGCATCTTCGAGAGAAGCCTGGAGGGAGGGAGGGAATAAGTGCCCTGAAAATCTGGCAGTGGGCACAGCCTGTGCAAAGGCCCCAGGGCAGGGCCATGCCTGGCATGTTGGAAGCACAGAGTAGAGGCCTATGTGGTGGGAGCAGAGTGAGGAAGGGGAGAAAGGGAGGAGGGGAGGATATGGCCAGGACAGGGCAGGTGATGCAGGGCCTTGTAGGCAGTGAGGAGGACTTGGGGTCTGACCCTGAGGAAAGTGGGAGCCATGGATGCTGTGGGCAGAGGAGGGACAGGGCCTGACTTAGTTCCAACATGCTGTCCTTCAGGAAACTTCTCTACCTGTCCAGACAGAGCCCCTACC